AAAAAAAAAAAAAAAAAAAAAAAAAAAAAAAAAAAGAAAGAAATCAAGATACCTGAAGCCTTCTACCCAACCTCAATCACTTGTGTTGCATCATCTCACTCAAGCAACACACTAAGGCCAGCCAAGATAAAAGGGAATTAAGGGCCACCTCTCAGTGGGGAAAGTAGCCAAGAATTTGCAGCTATCTTTTATTTACTGTATTATCCAAGATATGAAAGCATATGTCCAGACACAGGACACATAGAAGAACATTTATAGCCGCTTTATTCATAGGCATCCTTACACGGGAACAATCCAAATGTCTGTCAACAGGAGAACAGATATATTCCTTTTGTTGAATGCCACTATGCAATGAACAAGAATGAGCTAATGCATGTAACAACATGGTTGAACCTCAAAAACATTTTGCATGGATGAAGCAAGCGATGAAAAGACCATATGATTCCATTTACGTGAAAAGGAAGAAGAAGCAAAACTATTCTAAAATACAGGACACTTGGTTGTCTGAGAGCAAAAGAGGGACTCATCAAAGGGGACATGGGGCATTTCTACGGTGATGGAATGTTCTGTGTCTTGATTAGGGTGAGATTACACATTTGTCAAAACTCATCAAACTGTACACTTAAGAACAAGATACTTTACATAAATTTTGCCTCAATTTTTTAAAAGGGATACTCTTACCTTGTTGGCAAGACAGTAGCAATAGCATGAGTACAATTTCAGTAACTGGAAACTGAGTGAAGAGCAAGATAGTGAACATACTGAGGCTATGACCATTGATCATATTCAGTAAATAGTATTTGCTGAATATTTACCACAGGCTGGCTACTTTGCTAGGTGTCTTTACATTTTTCTCAATCCTTACAACAACTTTTTGAATTAAGTAATATCTGTCTTGCAGGTGAGGAAAGATTTGGAAAGGTGAAATAAGTAGCTCAAAGTCACAAAACCTGTAAGTGACAGAGTCTAGACTGAAACCCAGCCATGATTAGTTTATAACCATTGTCTGCCCACAGGGACACACACAAAACCCTGCAGACCTCGTATAGGCAACTGGCGTGTGTCTCTGATTTCTTAAAAGTTGGACACTAGGTTGTGAGAGAATAGAAACCTTCATTGTAGAAGATTATGATGGATTTCTTAATATCACACAAAAAGCCACAATTCATTTAATTCCAAAAAAAATGGAAAGCATGTTTGAGAAAGGTTTCAACATTAGCAGACTAGTAAGAATTAGTTCCTTTCCTCACTTAGATAACAATTAAAATCACTCTCTCTGGAGGTGGAAGGCCTGAGCTTGACTCCTGGCTCTGCTACTTTTGGCTGCGTGGTCTCAGGGACGTTTCTTAACTTCTCAGCACTGTCCTTAAACAGCTGTTGAAAGCATCCTCAGAGTTAATAGGCAGAAGAGCTGTGAAAGGCCCCTGACATTTAGCAAGTGTTCCAAACATTGTTTATTTTTTCTACTCAGGGCATTTCCTGTAACTGACTTAAAACCAAAAATGAGTCGATCATTACTTTGCCAATGTGACATGGTAGATGTGTTTTAGGTTAATCCTTACAGGAAACTTCCAGAGTACAGTAACTGCTATTACCCCCAGTGTTCAAGTTCATATAGTTATAAAGCTTCTGACAAAGCTGATATTTGAACAATATCTTCTTGACTCCAAAGCCTGCGCTTTTTCCCAGTAGAGAGCCAAGGGCAGTGATAAAAGGGATTCACCTTACACCTTTCAGGAGTAAAACCAGTTATTTTCTTCCAGGTTTGAATCTCTATTTACTGACTTGGAACTGAGGCAGGTAGAGCTGGGCATCTCCAGCTTTGGGGTGTCTGTCACCACCATGGAGGATGTCTTCATAAGGTAAGCACGTATAAAACTGTAAGACTCTGAGCTTCTTAGGGTCAGAAGCGATTTTAAAGGTCATCTCTCTAAACATTGCTCGATGCTTGAATCTTTTCTGTAGCAACCTCACTGAATGGCCTTCCAGCCTCTGACTTGTACTTCCAGTAACAGGAATACCTGAATCTCGGCCCACTGCAGCCTCTGCATCCCAGGTTCAAGCAATTCTCTTGCCTCAGACACCGGAGTAGCTGGGACTATGGGCGTCTGGCACCACACCTGACTAATTTTTGTATATTTAGTAGAGACGAGGTTTCACCATGTTGTCCAGGCTGGTCTCAAATTCCCAACCTCAAGCCGTCTGCCTTCCTCAGGCAACAGATATATTGCTGAATAACATCATTCGACAATCATAATTTTAGCAGAAATGTCTAGGAATGAAAAACAGAAAAAGATATTGTATCATTTGAGATGGTTTAGCCTGCAAATAACAGATAATCCCAACTCAGCAGGTTTAAACAATAAAGAAGATTTATTATTTTATTTAAAAAGAATTCCCCAGATGGGGCAGCTCGAGGGTTTGCAGATTCATCCACCAAATAGTCTTAGTGTCATGAAGCAGGCACGCAGGCTCAATTCTAGGTCAGCTTTGATGGAACACTGAAGGTATACTACCCGGGAGGCTGCGCCCGGCTGGAGAATGGTGATGAGAAAAGGTACTTTATCCAGTAGGGCAATCTTTGTCTTTTAACTGGAACACCTAGTCTATTTACAAGTATTTATAATATATTCAAATTTATATCTGTTACTTTATTTGATATTTTCTACCAGTCTTTCCAGTCTACGTAAATTTAAACAAAAAAATTTTTTTGGAGACAGAGTCTCAATCTGTTGTCTAGAGTGAAGTGCAGTGGTGAGATGTCAGCTCACTGTAACCTCTGCCTCTTGGGTTCAGGTGATTCTTCTGCCTCAGCCTCCTGAGTAGCTGGAACTACAGGCATGTGCCATCATGCCTGGCTAATTTTTATTTATTTATTTATTTATTTTTATGTATTTATTTATTTTTGAGACAAAGTCTTCCTCTGTCGCCCAGGCTGGAGTGCAGTGGTGCCATCTCAGCTCACTGCAGCCTCTGCATCCCAGGTTCAAGCAATTCTCCTGCCTCAGCTTCCCGAGTAGCTGGAACTTCAGGTGCCTGGCACCACACCCAACTAATTTTTATATTTTTAGTAGGGACGATATTTCACCATTTTGGCCAGGCTGGTCTCAAACTCCCAGCCTGTGATTTGTGACCTCAAGTGATTTGCCTGCCTTGACCTCCCAAAGTGCCTGGGATTACAGGTAATTTTTGTATTCTTAGTAGAGTTGGGGATTCTCCATGTTGACCAGACTGGTCTCGAGCTCCTGACCTCTAGGGATCCACCCACCTCAGCCTCCCAAAGTGCTGGGATTACAGGCATGAGCCACTGTACCTGGCCTTTAAACAAATTTTATTGATACATAATGTGCGTATGTATGGAATACATGTGATATTTTGATACATGCATATTTGACTTGAGATTTGATTGGTGTCTGCCTATAGACATCTTCCATGAGTTTAGGCTCCCCAGCCAGGTGCAGTGGTTCATGTCTCTAATCCCAGCACTTTGAGAGGCCGAGGCGGATGGATCACGAGGTCAGGAGTTCAAGACCAGCCTGACCAACATGGTGGAACCCCGTCTCTACTAAAAATACAAAAATTAGCCGGGCATGGTGTCATGCACCTGTAATACCAGCTACTTGGGAGGTTAAGGCAGGAGAATCACTTGAACCCAAGAGGCGGAGGTTGTGGGAGCTGCGAGTGTGGCATTGCACTCCAGCCTGGGTGACAGAGCAAGTCTCAAAGAAAAAAAAAAGAATCCCTGGCTATTGTTATCTCTTCACACAGGGCCTCTGCTCAAACATCTCCTCTCGTTCTGGAACTCCAATTAGACATATTAGATCTGATCAACTCTACTATGTGAACTTTTGAACTTTTGTTTTGTTTTGAGATGGAGTCTCACACCATTGCCCAGGCTGGAGTGCAGCGGTGAAATCTCTGCTCACTGCAAACTCCACTTCCCAGATTCAAGTGATTCTCCTGCCTCAGCCTCCCAAGTAGCTGGGATTACACGACCCGCTACCACACCCCGCTAATTTTTTGTATTTTTAGTAGAGATGGGGTTTCACTATGTTGGCCAAGCTGGTCTTGAACTCCTAACCTCGTGATCCACCTGCCTCGGCCTCCCAAAATGCTGGTATTACAGTCGTGAGCCACCATGCCCAGCTGAATTTTAACTTTTTAAATATTTTCCAACTCTTTGTCTCTCTGAGTTGCACTCTACACAATATCTCCTGATCCACATCCATGTCTTTGATTCTCTCTACAGGTGTTTCTGATCTTCAGCTAAATACTTCCATTGAGAGTATTTTATGGGGTTTTTTTCGTTTTTTTTTTTTTGTAGGGACGAGGTCTCATTATGACCTTGAACTCCTAGGCTCAAGTGATCTCCTGCCTTAGCCTCCCAAAGTGCTGAGATTACAGGCATGAGCCACTGGACACAGCTAGTTTTTAAAATGCTTACATTTTTATTGAAGTATAACATACATACCAAAAGGTGTGCAATCATTAAACCTGCAGCTCAGTTTTCATTTTTGAGTTTTTGAAATTTTGTTGTTTTTGTTATTTTGAGACAGAATCTTGCTCTGTTGCCCAGGCTGGAGTGCAGAGGTGTGATCTTGGCTCACTGCAACCTCTGCCTTCCAGTTTCAAGCAATTCTCCTGCCTCAGCCTCCCAAGTAACTGGGATTACAGGCGTGTGCCACCATGTCCAGCTAGTTTCTGTATCTTTAGTAGAGAAGGGGTTTCACCATGTTGGCCAGGCTGGTCCTGAACTCCTGACCTCAGGCGATCCGCCCACCTTGGCCTGCCAAAATGGTTGGATTACAGGCATGAGCCACTGTCCTGGGCCAAGTTGTTGAAATTTTTATATATTCTAGATATAATTATTTTGTCAGATATGTGTTTTATCTATATTTTCTTCCATTATGTGCCTTGCTTCTTTATATTCTTAGGGATAGCTTTTTTTTTTTTTTCTTGTGAGACAGCGTCTCACTCTGTCACCCAGGCTGGAGTGCAGTGGCCCAATCTTGGCTCACTGCGACCTCCACTGACTGGCCTGGGTTCAAGTGATTCTCCTGTCTTAACCTCCCACATAGTTGAGATTACAAACATGTGCTACCATGCCTGGCTAATTTTTTTTATTTTTAGTAAAGACAGAGTTTCACCATGTTGGCCAGGCTGGTCTCAAACTCCTGACCTCAAGTGATCCACCTGCCTTGGCCTCTGTGATTACAGGCATGAACCACTGCACCCAGCTAAGTGGTAGCTTTTGATTAGAAGTTTTTCATTTTTATAAAGGCTAATTTCTAAATTTTTTTTTTTTGAGACGGAGTCTCAGTCTGTTGCTAGGCTGGAATGCAGTGGCACAGTCTCGGCTCACTGCAACCTCCGTCTCCTGGGTTCAAGGGATTCCCCTGCCTCAGCTTCTGGAGTAGCTGAGACTACAGGTGCGTGCCACCACACCCGGTTAATTTTTGTATTTTAGTGGAGATGGGGTTTCACCATCTTGGCCAGGCTGGTCTCAAACTCCTGACATCAGGTCATCCGCCCGCCTCAGCCTCCCAAAGTGCTGCAATTACAGGTGTGAACCACCATGCTCAGCCCCTAAATTTTTTTGTTACTGTGCTCTGTATTCTTTCTAAAAAATATGCCCCTACCCTTAGATCACAAAGTTATGCTCCTGCCTTTTATTCAAGGAATTTTATCATTTTAGCTTTTACATAGTCCTGTAACACATTTTCTATTAATTTTTGGGTATGGCTGTGTGTGTGTGTGTGTGTGTGTGTGTGTGTGTACGTGCAAGACAAGGTCTCACTCTGTCACCCAGGCTGGAGTGCAGTGGTGTGATCACAGCTCACTGCAGCCTCCACCTCCTGGGCTTAAGCGTTCCTCCCACCTCAGCTTCCCAAGTAGCTGGGACTACAGGCACACACCACCACCCCCAGCTAAGTTTTTTATATTTTGTAGAGACAGGGCCTTGCTATATTGCCCAGGCTGATCTGGAACTCCTGGGCTCAAGCAACCTTCTCACCTCGCCTTTCCAAAGTGTTGGGATTATAGGCGTGAGCCATGGTGCCTAGACTTGTGTACAGTTTGATAAGAGGTTAAGTGGAAAAACATACACTGTTTTTTTTCTGCTCTCACATCACAGCAGTCAACACAGAAGACTCCTGTGATTACAATGTGTGGGAATTTCCCCCTAACAACAGGCAAGCAATCAGTTCTGCAGCAGACACCAGCTGCATGTCCTCCAATTCAGTTCTCAAGTATTTGGAGATAGCATCAGACCCCACAGATTGAAGGCTACATCTCACAAGACTTCCCACTTGCAGTGTCAATCACAAGCCCTGGGTTGTTTCACCTATCCATTTTTTTTTTCTTTCAATTGAGGAGGCCTCACTATGTTGCTCAGGCTAGTCTCTGTCTTTTGAGCTGGGCTTAAGTGATCCTCCTGCCTCAGCCTCCTGAGTTGCTGGGATTACAGGTGTTAGCTATTAAACACTTCCTGTGCTTCTGACTGACCAGCTGTAAACTAGGGATCCTACTACCCCCTCCTTAGGTACAATGAATTTGCTAAAGTGGCTCACAGAACTCAGGGAAACCCATTTCCCAGTTTACTATAAGGATATTACAAAGAATAGAGAAGAAGAGACACATAGGGGAAGGTATATGGGAAGGGGCATGAAGCCTCGGTGGCCTCCCCGGGTGTGACACCCTCCAGGAACCTTCAACTGTTCACCTATCTGGAAGCTCCTCTTGGGCCTTTTATGGGGACTTCATTGGATAGGCATGACTGAAGCATGGACAACTGTGTAGACATGAGACTGGTCAAAAAGAGCGCTATGTAATACTAGCAGTCTGCCTGGGGCAACCCAGCAAGCCCTGTTTGTTCAGATCCTTCCTGGCCTCTCTGCAGTACTCCTTCCCCCAGGGTATGGGATAGTACACCTTCTAAAATGGTGGGGCGGTCTCATGACCTACAGTCAGATGAGATAGTTCTTTATGGCCAGCTCCAAGACAGAAAGATGGGGGAAGATTATATTTTTAGTTTCTGTGGCCTGCCTTGGGGAGAAATAATAGCTATGGGAGTTATTAGCCAGGAACTATGAAAGAAAACATTTTTTATTGACCCCTGTGACAGAATGATGTCACCACCTCAACCCCTGTGATCTGTTGTTTTATCACAGGGCTTGAGGCTCATTTTCTTCTATGTAAGTAGCCAGATGAGACCAACTATTTGTTGCAAAGACTTTTTTTTCCACATTGAGTTGTTCTGATGCCTTCACCAAAAATCAGTTGACTGTACGTCTCTACATTCCCTCTTCTGTTTCATAGATCTGTTTGTCTCTCCTGTGCCAGTACTACACTGCTGAGATTCCTGTGGCTTTGTAGTATGTCTTGAAGTCAGGTAGTATATAGTTCTTCCAGCTTTGTTCTATTTCTTGAAGATTGTTTTGGATACTGTAGATCCTTCACATTATCATGTAAATTTTAAAATAAACGTGTCTATTTCTTTGAGGCAGCCGTGAGCTGTGATCACCACTGAAATCCAGCCTGGGCAACAAAGTGAGATCCAATCTCTATTTTTTTTAAGAGTGTGTGTGCGTGTACACACACACAATATACGATATATACATATATATGATCATCTATACTTATATATACACTGTAAATGTATATATAGTATCTATATACATACAAGTGCATATATATGTAGCATGAATATATAATGTGTGTATATATACACATATTGGTATATATAGTTTACATACATTTAGTATATATAGTTTACATACATTTACATACATACACACACTAACTGTATGTAAACTATATATACTAATATGTGTGTATATATATACACATATATATATTAGTGTATATATACTATATGTACTGTACATACATACACACACACATTGGTTAGTTAACTCAATACTTGGAACTTATTTAAGACTATACTGGCCAGCTTATAGCCAGTATATACTACACACACACACACACACACACACACACACACACACACACACACACATATTTATATATGTGTGTTTCAATGTTTATGGTTATGTGAGATGGTTATATAATAATATGATATCCTTGATTATGCTGTTAAACCTGGATAGCATAAATATGATATATATATATAGATCAGAATGAAGCATACTTCATTCTGAACTCAAAATCCCTTGGCCTATCCATTGATTGTTTACCAATCCGTGGCCTAGAGTCTCAGCAGGGCTGTGTTTTATAATTTTCAGTTTTGCTAATGAAATAGATATTAAATGATACATCATTTTGTTTTAATTTGCATGTGGACTCTTTTAGGGAAAATGACAAAAATCTATTCATACTGGCATTACCTCAGTTATTTGGAAAGTTATTGGTTTGTTAACTCAATACTTAGGACTTATTAAGACCTTGCTAGCCTGTTATAGCCAGTATCTACTTGCTACCCATTATGTATAATCTAGATACAGCTTTTATTCTTCTTTATTCTTATCCTAACTTATTTTTTTTTCAAATACCATATTACTTTCATTCTTCACATTCAAATGAAATGTGCTGTGGTTTTGAGAGTTTCTATTTGTTTTTGCTTTTGGTTTGGTTTAGGGTTTGTATGTTGGCAGATGCCAGTACAGCTGTCATCCCAAACATCAGACGTCCCTCTATCCATCCCCAGCCCCTGCTTAGCAGAATTCCTGTTGACAGAATTAAACAACTTCATTCAAGGATCTTCTCAGTGCAGACTGGGCTGCCAATCACACCAAACACTGGGGTAAGTAAGTCACAAATTCCAAATGCATGCAAGAAAACACATAATGGTTTAATTCTTGGAAATACACTCTCTTTCTGTCAATAAGTTACGTCAGCCTTTTATAGAAGCTTAAGAAAAAATATGCACATTTTAGGTATAAAAGATTGGCCGTGCCAGTTTGAGCACTATCACAGTCTCTGCTGTAGTTCAAAGGCAAAGGGTGATGGTCTGAACAGGATTAACCCAGTATAGGAAAGGATCATAAAAGATTATAAGAGAGGTTTTGGCCATTCCTCTGACCAGGAAGAAGACAGAATAAAAGTGCTAAATCTGCTGGCCAGAAAGCGTATATCTTTCACTGTGAAACAAATCATGTATCGCTTGGAAGTAAAACTTTTAAAAATATATCTTTATTAAATGTATGGACAACCTGTAATGTTCCTTTAATGTTGAAAAAAGGATATTGTGCTGGGCATGGTGGCTCACACCTGTAATCCCAGCACTTTGGGAGGCTAAGGTGAGTGGATCATCTGAGGTCAGGAATGCAAGACCGGCCTGGGCAACATGGTGAAACCCTGTCTAAACAAAAAAACAAATAAATAAATAGCTGGGCATGGTGGTGGGTGCCTATAATCCCAGCTGCTCAGGAGGCTGAGGCAGGAGAATCACTTGAACCCCAGAGGCGGAGGTCGCAGTGACAGTGAGCGGAGGCTCCAGCCTGGGCAACAAGAGCAAGACTCTGTCTTAAAAAAAAGAAAAAGAATATTGATGTGCATTTTATGAAGTGTTCTTGATTAGCTATACACAAGTATTAATGTAAAATAAAACTGACTTTCGTGGATTAGTCAAGAGAGTAACTTATTGTTTTATAACCTTGAATCACACAATTACAGGGAAGCTGTCATCCACTGACCCTCCAAGTTGGGAAAGGTCTTGGAGTCAACTAGGTCAGCCACCTGTCTCATACAGGAGGCAAAACAAGACCCCATCTCTAAAAAAGATTCAAAAAATTAGCCAGACATGGTGGTGCACACCTGTAGTCCCAGCTACTAGGGAGGCTGAGGCAGAAGGATTGCTTGAGCCCGGGAGGTCAAGGCTGCGGTGAGCCAAGATCATACCACTGCCCTCCAGCCTGGGTAACAGAGTGAGACCGCATCCCAAAAAAGAAAAAAAATCTTAAGTTCAAAGAGTTTTAACTTGAAGCAAATTTTGAACATATTGAAAAGTTAGTTATACGTAGTATTAGGGAGTGCAAGTGGGCAGGAGCCAGGGGCCACTTCAGTGCCTCCAGCTTCCATCTGTGACCATGTTAATGCTGTGTTTCTCTTTTTTTTTTTTTTTTAATTGTAGTTCAGTCTTCTCTGCCAACAATTTTATGCCATGCTCCTGAAAAAGGCCACATATTCTTGGCGCAACTGGATGTTGATGTTATCAATACAGATCGTGGTCCCTCTGGTGATCACCATGTTAAGCCTCATGTTCTTCAACTTCAAAGAAAGAATCACGGAAAATGTCCCATTGGAGCTGACTCTGAAAACATATGGTCAGACCATTGTTCCTTTCTTTATTTCTCAGAATTCCAGGCTGGATCCTCAACTTTCAGAACGCTTTGCAAATATGCTTACGGCTGAGGGACAGATTCCTCTGGAGGTTCTGGGTAAGTACCAGGCCCAGGAAAATGGGGCATGAAACCACCCTATTGTTGTTTTTATTGAAGCCATGTGCTGCTGGGCCGCATGGTGCTCTCTGAAGTTAGAAATAAATAGAAATCTCAGAAAACCATATCTCAAACCTCAAATGACAGGAAAGGTAGAGTCCCTAGAAATAAGACCAAGTATGTGCCTTTCTAGGAATGAAAGCATGCCCCAAAATAAAATTGTGGGGGTTTTGGGTGTGTGTGTGTGTGTGTGTGTGTGTGTGTGTGTGTGTGAGTGATGGAGTCTTGCTCTGATGCCCAGGCTGGAGTGCAATGGTGTGATCACGGCTCACTGCAACCTCCGCTTCCTGGGTTCAAGCAGTTCTTCTGCCTCAGCCTCCCAAGTAGCTAGTACTACAGGTGGCCGACACCACACCCAACTAATTTTTGTATTTTTAGTAGACATGAGATTTCACCATATCGGCCAGGCTGGTCTTGAACTCCTAATCTCAGGTGATCCACCCACCTTGGCCTTCCAAAGTGCTGGGATTTCAGGCATAAGCCACTGTGCCCGGCCTCCCAAAATAAAATTGATAAACTATTCAATATGTTTGAATTGTATTGAAAGGACAGCTACACTTCTTTTTTTTTTTTTTGAGGTGGTGTCTCAGTCCATTGCCCAGGCTGGAGTGCAGTGGCACCATCTCAGCTCACTGCAACCTACACCTCCCAGGTTCAAGCGATCCTCCTGCCTCAGCCTCCCAAGTAGCTGGGATTACAGGCACATGCGACCATGTCCAGCTAATTTTTGTATTTTCAGTAGAAATGGGGTTTCACCATATTGACCAGGCTGGTCTTGCACTCCTGACCTCATGATTCACCCACCTCAGCCTCCCAAAGTGCTGCGATTACAGGTGTGAGCCACCGTGACTGGATGAGATCTCCACTTCTTTCAAGAGAGTTTATGCATGACGTGGTGACAGACATAAAGAAAATTAGGCAAATGAGAAAAGGAGAACATTATTAACTTCAAGGGGAAAGTTGTACAACAAAACATACTACTTGCTTCAGTTGTAATAATTTTTACTTAGTCATAATAATGTCAAAACTGACTATTGTTTCAGCCAAAATTATGATGTAACTCTAGTGAGAGGAAGGTAAGGGGAAATCTGTAGGGCTGTAAGAGAGGATGGTTGTAAGAGAACAAAATCCTTGCTTCCATCGTGAGACATCATCAGCTCAATGTGCTGTTTAGCAACGTGGAGAAACAGCTGGTAAAAGATGTGAAAGGGGTTGCTTCTGGTGAATGGGCATTGGGGAGGATCAGGGCTAGGGAAGAGCACAGCTGTTTCTTGTATAACTATTTGAATTTAAAAATTATATTCATGCATTATTTTGATTAACATTTTAAAATAATTACTTTTTTAAAAGAAAGATTTCAAGTGCAGAACATGATGTGTCAAAATAGTTGGCATCATAACACCCTGCCTCTCTAGGCCCTGGTTTCTTCATATTCCAAATGGGGAGAATGACAGACCTCACCTCGCAGCATCGTTGGGTGATTTCCTGAGTGCTTGTCAAGCGCTTTGCACAGGTGCACCATGTGAGCACTCAGCCAGTGGCACTGGTACTGTTGTTTTTGTCATTGTGATTGAAGGTCCCTTCAGCACTAAAGAGTTTAGATTTCTGGACTCTAGGTGGGTTGTATATTTGAATTTGACTTGGCACCGTATGCTTAGAATACAACAAACAGCATCATTACCAGCCCTCAAGGAGCTTCTAGTCCTGAGATCTTATGCATAAATGACAGATACAACACAAAGTGACAGTGACTGCAGTTGGAATGCTGTGGAATTACACGAACAAGTGTCAGCCGTGGAGGGTCAGAGTAGGCTCCCGAGTGAGAGCCCAAGGTATGAGTAGGCGTTGACTGATGGAAGGGAAAAGTAACCCAGAGAACATTCCGAACAACAAGAGGAACATTTGTAAGCATGGGGCACTGTAAATCCTTAGGTTTGGCTGGAGCTAAGCATAGTGATGGGCTGAATTTGGATAGCGATGGGCTCTGTACCTCGTGCAGGAATTTGGCTTTTGTTGTGAGGGCAGTGGAGAGCCACTGCAAGTTGTTTGGTGGGGTGCATTATGGCCAAATGTGTCCTTTCAATCAGACTGGAGGTACCAGATAGAATACAAATCTGGCCGGGTGCAGAGTCTCATGCCTGTAATCCTAGAAGTTCGGGAAGCTGAGGTGGGTAGATCACTTACGGCCAGGAGTTCAAGACCAGCCTGGCCAAAATGGTGAAACCCCCGTCTCTACTAAAAATACAAAAATTAGCCAGGCGTGCTGGCACGTGCCTATGGTCCCAGTTATTTGGGAGGCTGAGGCAGAAGAATCAATTGAACCTGGGAGGCAGAGGCTGCAGTGAGCCAAGATCCTGCCACTGCTCTCCAACCTGGGCAACAGGTAAGACTCTGTTTTCAAAAAAAAGAAGGCAAGATCTTCACTGGGGGCTACATAAACCAGGTACAGATGATGAGATCCAGACCCAGTCAAGGCAGTGGGAAGGAGAGAAGCAGACAATTGGAAGAAACTTAAAAGGCTAATAGAGCCAGGCACAGTGGCTTATACCTGTAATCTCAACACTTTGGGAGGCTGAGGCAGGAGGATCACTTCAGTCCAGGAGGTCAGGTCTGCAGTGAGCGATGATCACATCACTGCCCTCCAGCCTAGGGAACAAAGAAAGGCTCCTTCTCTAAAAATATGAATAAATAAATAAAATAAAGGAAAAATGGACAATACTCCAAAATTGACTGGAATTCCAGGGCAGGGTATGGTGAGAGGAGGCCTGCTTTCAGAGGTGGGTTGGGGTTAGCGATGAAATACCTAGGAGAAGCAGCAGGTTGCCAGAGACCGATGGTGACTTCTCCCCACCCCACTGGGCCTGGTGTGATGCTTGTTCTTACTGCCTGGTGGATATTTTGCTCCCTTCTAGGTTCTGTAGAAGAGTTCCTATTGAAAAAATCAAAAGAGGAACCTGGGGACTTTGATAAGCTCTACTTAGTGGCAGCTTCCTTTGAAGACGTGGGAAATCACACCATAGTGACAGCGCTGTTCAACAACCAGGCATACCATGCTTCTGCCCTGGCTCTGGCACTGGTGGACAATTTTCTCTTCAAGTTGCTTTCTGGTGCCAGGGCTTCCATTACCGTATCCAACCACCCTCAACCTCCGACATTTGTGAAGGAGGAGGAGAATTTGTGGTATCAGTATGTGTGAATTTTCTTCTCTCCATCTACACCTCTGTAGGTCTCCACCGCTTTCCACCTATTTCTGCCTGTCTTTGCTTCTTGTTTTAATTGCAAATTGTTATTTGGAAGATGGTTGCTATTAGCAGTTCCACTTACTCTGCTACGTCTCACCTTATGTCCTGTCTTTTACAGGGGCCCTAAAGGACATTACCTTGTTATCAACTTGCTTTTTGGATTAGCTTTCCTGTCTAGCTCTTTTTCCATGTTGACAGTTAGAGAGAGGCTCGTTAAGGCCAAGCATGTCCAGTTTATCAGTGGAGCTTATGTGGCCATTTTCTGGCTCTCCGCTCTGCTGTGGGACCTCATCTCCTTCCTCATCCCCAGTCTGCTGCTGTTGGTGAGTGCTGGAGGGTGCCGGGATCCTTCAGCTGCATATGGTCGAGGGTTTCTCCTGGGGACCCCTGCATAGAGCCAGAACCAACTGGGAAGCCTAGGTTGGCAATTCTGCCCCCAGTGGGGACCCAGGGTGTGAGATCTTCGTCATCACTGACCCTTGGTAGAAGACTCAAGTTCCCAGCTTTGTTAGGAGCAGAGGGACCTGCTTTGGGGTCTCTATGTGGCCCCCTCAAGAGTTTCTTCTTCAAGCTAGTAAGGAGCAGTACTTTGGGGACATATGTTTATTGTCCAGAAATACCTCACCAGGGTACTGACGGGCTGAAGTACTTAATTGTGGCCCCCTGGTTATTTTATGCAGAATGGACCACTTCATGCTTTGTTCTGCCTGTGTTTCGTGAGCATCTCCGAGCCCCTTATCGCACTACACTGCACCACTGATTTCCAGGGCAGCTCCCAGAGAACAGGGTTTAGGGCTTGCTCATCTCTGCATGTGCAGATGAGTAGAAGGGAAGTGCCCACTCAGTATTGCTAATACCTTACTTTTAAAATTGAGATTCTGATATTCTTTCTCCAGTGTTTAGGATTGACTCTTAATGACTTTTCCAAATTCTTCCCCTGCCCCTCCTAAGGTGGTGTTTTTATACTATCGTGAGGAAGCTTATACACACAATGAAAATGTCCTGGCTGTTATCCTGCTGTTAATGCTCTATGGCTCCTCTATCATCCCCTTCGTCTACTTGGTCAGCTTCTCTTTCAATAACGTGGGCAACACCTGTGTCAAGCTGATCATCATGCTCACCTTCCTCAGCATCTGCCCCTTCATCCTTGTCTCAGTCACAGGTGAACAAGGTGAGGACTGCACAGCACACAGCACATATAGCTTTGATTTTCCCTCCAGCAGTCTCCAAAGTTGTACCCAGGAAACTGCATGTCTACTAAAGACCTGTGAGGGAGTGTCCACAGCAGCTGTTGCCTGAAGAGTCCCCAGTGTGAATGTCCCAAACACACATCTCCAGGAGAATGGATGATTACTACTCACAAATTTAAAAAGGGACCTGAAGTCGCATGGATGGATATCAAAGACAATGTTGAGCAAAAGAGTGAACACTGTATGATGCCACTAATGAAGTCCACAGACAGGCAAAACTAGTCCTGGAGATGGAACCAGAAAAGTGGTTGCCTCGGGGTTGGGGAGAGGGAGATTGGCTAAAAAGAGACTAGGGAACTCTCTAGAGTGATGGAAATGTTCTTTATGTTGACTGAGGTGTTGGTTACATGGGCTTATAGATTTTTCAAAATTCATCAAATTGTCTACTTATGATCTATGCACGTCATTGAAATATATAATTCCTCAGTAAAAAAGATAATAAGTAAATGGCAGGGGCACGACCTCAACCTTGGCAAAATAAACTTTCTAAATTAACTGAGACCTGTCATATTTTCTGGGTTCACAGAGCCAAGGCTGACAGGCTGCTCGGTGAGTGTGCAGTTAGAGTGAAGGAAGCTGCAAGTGAGTGCCATTCAGGCCTGGCACCTCAGGCCTCGTGCCGCCCTTTGTGTTTGTGACACCGTGTCTATGAGTCAGGCTGGATAGGCATGCTGATATTTTACCTCCATTACATTCTTTCCCATTTGCATTTATCCTGAACACCTCCTTCACATAGACTTTGCGTTTTGTTTTGTTTTTCTTAAAAATGAATTAACAGCTTCCCTCTACTTTTTTTTTTTTTTTTTTTTTGAGACGGCATCTCGCTCTGTCTCCCAGGCTGGAGGGCAATGGCGAAATCTCAGCTCACTGCAACCTCCACCCCCGAGGTTCAAGGGATTCTCCTGCCTCAGCCTTCTGAGTAGCTGGGATTACGGGTGCCCACCACCACACCCAACTAATTTTTGTATTTTTAGTAGACGTAGGGTTTCACCATGTTGGCCAGGCTGATCTCTGTTGCCAAGCTGGAGTGCAGTGGTGTGACCTCAGCTCACTGGAACCTCTGTCTCCCGGATTCAAGTGATTCCCCTGCCTCAGCCTCCCTAGTAGCTGGGATCATGCCCAGCTAATTTTTGTATTTTTAGTAGGGAAGGGTTTCATCATATTGGCCAGGATGGTCTCAATCTCTTGACCTCATGATCCACCCACCTTGGCATCCCAAAGTGCTGGGATTACAGATGTGAGCCACCGCACCCGGCTCCCTCTACTTTGAACTTGGGAGTCATTATGTCTCCTAAGAGACTCTTGATGATAGTTTTATCTCCACAAACTGTAGAGAAAGGAACTGCATTCTCTTCATCATATGTAAGATGACACTCAAACGGCCTGGAAGCCGGCAGTTCACCCCTGCTATCTGGACACAGATCATTTGTAAACCTCATCTCCTTCTACCCTCAGATCTCCCACCTCCACAGATGCAGCCCATGCTGGGGTTGTGCTCCTGATTTACCAAAACACACCATATTCTTCTTATGCATTCTCCTGCATCAACAACTGGAAAAAAGTAAAGTGGGGCTGGGTGTGGTGGCTCACACCTGTAATCCCAGCACTTTGGGAGGCCGAGGTGGGCAGATCACAAGGTCAAGAGATCAAGACCATCCTGGCCAACATGGTGAAACCCTGTCTCTACTAAAAATACAAAACTTACCTGGGCGTGGTAGCCCACGCCTGTAGTCCCAGCTACTCAGGAGGCTGAGGCAGGAGAATTGCTTAATCCCAGGAGGCAGAGGTTGCAGTGAGCTGAGATCATGCTACTGCACTCCAGCCTGGGTGACAGAGCGAGACTCCTTCTCAAAAAAAAAAAAAAAGTTAAAATGACAGATTCAAAAAGCATGACGGAAGAAAAATATTTAGGTCTTGGAGGCTGAATGACTTTAGAGGAAGAGGAGTCAGGGAGAACCAGTTTTCTGGTCTGGAGGGCTGGGAGTCTGATGGTATAAATATGGATACAGAATAAAGTAGATTAGGATAGATGATAGAGGATATGCCCTTGTCTTGCTGCAAGCAGAGTTAATGTTTTCCATTCTCTTCACAGATCTAGGCTACGTAACAATCTCAGAATCCTTGGATAATACATTCCTAATATTTCCAGGCCACTGCCTGGGAATGGCTTTCTCCAACTTATATTACAACTTTGGACTACAGAGGTTGTGCAGTATCAAGAACCTGAGCGAGACTAAATGCAATGACATTGGTGAGTATTGTAAATGGAATTTGTTAAATACGTTTTTGTTGAAGTATAATTCATATAAAATCTTCCCTTTTAAAGCTTACAAGTCAGTAATCTGTCATAAGAGTTTTTTTAAAAAGGACAAAATTTACAAGTCACTGTTTTTTGGTATATGCAGTTGTACAACCTTGACCACTATCTAATTCCAGAACGTTTTCATCACTCCAAAAGGAGGCCCTGTATCTATTAACAGTCACTCCCCATTCCCTTCTTCCCCCAGCCCCTTGAAATCACTAATCTACTTCCTGTCCGGATTTCCCTGTTCTGGATAGTTCACATAAATGGAATCACACAGTGTGTGGGCTTTGTGTCTGTCTTCTTTTACTTAGAATAATGTTTTCAAGGTTCACCCATGTTGTAACAGGGGTCAGTGCTTCATCCCTTTGCATAGCTGAATGTTAGTTAGTCCATTGCATGGTTATACCCCAATTTATCTTTTCATCTGTTGATGGACATGTGGGTTGTTTCTGCTTTTGCTATTATGAATAACACTATTATAAACATTTGGATATGAGTTTTTGTGTGAACATGTTTTCAGTTCTCTTGGGTATATATCTAAGAGTATGTTTGCTGGGTCATTTGGTAACTCTGTTTAGCTTTTTGAGGACCTACCAAACGGTTTTTCACATTAGCTGAACCATTTTACATTCTTACCAGCAAAGTATGAGGGTTTCAGTTTGTCCACATCCTCTCCAACACTTCAAAAAATTATTTACTTTGGCTGGGTGCGGTGGCTTATGCCTGTAATGCCAGCACTTGGGAGGCCGAGGCAGGTGGATCACAAGATTAGGAGTTCAAGACCAGCCTGGCCAACATGGTGAAACTCCATCTGTATTACAAAAATTAGCTGGGCAAGGGAGAAACCCAAGATGGCCTATTACTAGCAGCTCAGGATTGTAGTTCCCAGTGAAAGCGCTGAGAACGAGAGGGCGCCACACTTTCAGACGAACTTTTGTTGCTCACGGACCAGGAGATTCCCAGCGGAGAAGCCCCACGGGTCGCCAGTGCGACTCTTGTGGCCGGCGCGGCAGTTCTCGGTGCAGAGTAAACGGGACTGGGTCCCCTTTTGGTCGACGTTTGGAGCTCCAGGAAGGCGGAGTCGCCCATTCAGCTGATTGAAAAAGGGACTCAAGAAGGAAGCCAGACCGGAGACTCCCGGGCAGAAAAGCACCAAGAATCTTTTTTTTTTTTTTTTTTTTTTTTTTTTTGAGACGGAGTTTCACCCATGTTACCCAGGCTGGAGTGCAATGGTGCGATCTCGGCTCACCGCAACCTCCGCCTCCTGGGTTCAGGCAATTCTCCTGCCTCAGCCTCCTGAGTAGCTGGGATTACAGGCACGCGCCACCATGCCCAGCTAATTTTTTGTAGTTTTAGTAGAGACGGGGTTTCACCATGTTGACCAGGATGGTCTTGATCTCTTGACCTCGTGATCCACCCGCCTCGGCCTCCCAAAGTGCTGGGATTACAGGCTTGAGCCACCGCGCCCGGCCAAAAGCACCAAGAATCTTAATGCCGCTGTTTTGGCCAGCCCAGCCGGTTGCTCAGATTTCAGCGCTGGGAAACAACAAGTTGGACATCCACTCAGAGACCTAATTTGAAAGTCGGTAATTAGAAAGGCGACAGGTGGATAAATTTACAATCACGGAAAGAAACCAGCATAAAAAAGCTGAGAATACTCTAAATCAGAATGCCTCTCGCTCTACAGGGAATCATAGTTCCTCATCAAGAAGGGAACAAGGCCTGATGGAGAACAAGTGCGTTCCATTAACAGAATTAGGCTTCAGAAGGTGGATAATAAGAAACTTCTGTGAGTTAAAAGAGCATGTTCTAGCCCAATGTAAAGAAACTGAGAACCTTGAAAAAAGGTTGGACAAAATGCTAACTAGAATAGACAATCTAGAGAGGAATATAAGTGAGTTAATGGAACTGAAGAATACAATAGGAGAACTCCGTGAAGTTGCACAGGTTTTAACAGTCGAATTGATCAAGCAGAAGAAAGGATATCAGAGGTCGAAGACCAACTTAATGAAATGAAATGAGAAGACAAGATTAGAGAAGAAAGAGTAAAAAGGAATGAGCAAAGTCTCCAAGAAATATGGGACTATGTGAAAAGACCTAATTTACGTTTGATAGGTGTACCTGAATGTCATGAAGAGAATGAATCCAAGCTGGAAAATATTCTTCAGGATATTATTCAGGAAAACTTTCCTAACCTAGTAAGGCAAGAAAATACTCAACTCCAGGTAATACAGAGAACACCACAAAGATACTCCTCAAGTAGAACAACCCCAAGTCACATAATCATTAGATTCACCAGGGTTGAAACAAAGGAGAAAATTCTAAGGGCAGCTAGAGAGAAAGTCAGATTACCCATAAAGGGAAGCCTGTCAGACTCACAGCAGATCTTTCAGCAGAAACCCTACAAACTAGAAGAGAGTGGGGGTCAATATTCAATATCCTCAAAGAAAGGAATTTGCAACCCAGAATCTCATATCCAGCCAAACTAAGCTTCATAAATGAAGGAAAAATAAAATTTTTTCATGAACAAGCAAACACTCAGAGATTTTGTCACCACCAGGCCTGCTTTACAAGAGCTTCTGAAAGAAGCACTACACACAGAAAGGAACAACCAGTATCAGTCATCCCAAAAACTTACCAAAAGGTCAAGAGTATCTCCATGATGAAGAATATATATCAACTAATGGGCAAAATAGCCAGCTAGCATTAAACGACAATATTAAACTCACAAATATCAATATTAATCCTAAATTTAAATGGATTAAATGCCCCAATCAAAGACACAGACACGCAAATTGAATAAAAAATCAAAACCCATCGGCACGCTGTATCCAGATCCATCTTATAAGCAAGGACACACAAAGACTCAAAACAAAAGGTTCGAGGAAGACTCACCAACCAAATGGAGAGCAAAAAGAAAAAACAAAAAAAACAGGAGTTGTGTCTCTGACAAAATAGACTTTAGTAATAACAAAGACTAAAAGAAACAAAGAAGGATATTACTTAATGGTAAAAGGATCAATGTAACAACAGGAGTCAATGATCATAAATATATATGCACCCAATATAGGAACACCCAGATACATTAGACAAGTTCTTAATGACTTATAAGAGACTTGGACTCCCGCACAATAATAGCGGGAGACTTTGACACCACATTGTTAATATTCGATGGATCAACGAGATAGAAAATTAACAGGGACATCTATGATTTGAACTCAGACCTGGAACAAGTAAACTCAGTGAATATTTATAGAATTCTTCACCCCAGGTCCACAGAACATACATTTTTTCAGTATCACATTACACCTATTTTGAAAGTGACACATAAATGGAAGTAAATCACTGTTCAGCATTTGCATAGCATTTCACAGATTTAAATGAAATATTGGTTGGCTGTTTGTTTGTTATTTTCTTCCCTTATTCCTTCCTGTCTCTGCTGTTAAGCACAATTATTGGCATAAAAGAGGTTTTTAATACCTATTTTTAGATTGCATTCCAGCCTGGGCAATAGAGCAAGACTCCTGTTCTCTCTCCCCCTTTCTCTTTCTCTTTCTTTCTTTCTTTCATTAAAAAAAAAGAAGATCTTTCTTTCATTAAAAAGAAGAAGAAGAAGAAGTTTATTTTCATGTGGCTTTTTTATAGCATTTAAAAAAAAAATTAGCTGGGCATGGTTGTGGGTGCCTCTAATCTCACCTACTCAGAAGGCTGAGGCAGAGAATTGCTTGAATCCGGGAGGCAGAGGCTGCAGTGAGCCGAGATTGCACCACTGCACTGCAGCCTGGGGGACAGAGCGAGACTCTGTCTCAAAAACAAAAATTATTTACTTTTTAAGTTATGGTACATAGCATGAAATTTTTTTTCTTTTCTTTTTTTTTTTTTTTAAAACAGAGTCTTAGTCTGCTACATAGGCTGGAATGCAGTGGTACTGTCTTAACTCACTGCAGTCTCTGCTTTCTGGTTTCAAGTGATTCTCCTGCCTGAGACTCATGAGTAGCTGGGACTACAGGCACACGCCACCACACCCAGCTAATTTTTGAATTTTTAGTAGAGCTGGGATTTCGCCATGTTGGCCAAGCTGGTCTCAAACTTCTGACTTCAGGTGACCCACCTGCCTCAGCCTCCAGAAGTGCTGGGACTACAGGTGTGAGTCACTGTGTCCAACTGAAATTTGCTATTTTAAAGTGTACAGTTCAGTGGCATTAAGTACATTCAAATTGTTGTGAATTAGCACATCTATCTCCAGAACTTCTTTCATTTTGCAAAACGGACACTATGAACCCAATAAACAATAACTCACCATTCCCCTAACCCCTGCCCCTGGTCATCAACATTCCACTCTCTGTCTCTTTGAATTTGATTAAATGAAACAATTTCATTGAGCTCTCATTTCCTTTTGTGTATCTTTTTTTTTTTTTTTTTTTTGGAGACAGAGTCTCACTCTGTCACCCAGGCTGGAGTGCAGTGACGTAATCTTGGCTCACTGCAACATCCACCTCCCAGGTTCAAGCAATTCTCCTGCCTCAGCCTCCCGAGTAGCTGGGACTACAGTTGCCTGCCACCACACCTGGCTAATTTCCATATTTTCAATAGAGATGTATTTTCACCATGTTTGTCAGGCCGGTCTTGGACTCCTGACCTCGTGATCCACTTGTCTCAGCCTCCCAAAGTGCTGGAATTATACGTGTGAGCCACTGCACCCGGCCAGCCATTCATTTTTTTTTTTTTTTCTGAGACAGAGTCTCACTCCATCACCCAGGCTAGAGTGCAGTGGCGTGATCTCAGCTCACCGCAACCTACGACTCCCAGGTTCAAGCGAGTCTTGTGCCTCAGTCTCCAGAGTAGCTGAGATTACAGGCGCACACCACCAGGCCTGGCTCATTTTTGTATTTTTTGTAGAGACAGGGTTTCACCATGTTGACCAGACTGGTCTCAAAATCCTGACCTCAAGTGATCTTCACGCCTTGCCCTCCCACATTGCTGGGATTATAGGCATGAGCCACCTTGATTCATTTCAACCTGAAAGGTTCCTTTCAGCATTTTTTTTTTTTTTTTTTTTGAGACAGAGTTTTGTTCTTGTTGCCCAGGCTGGAGTGCAATGGCACGATCTCAGCTCACTGCAACCTCTGCCTCCCGTGTTCAAGCAATTCTCCTGCCTCAGCCTTCTGAGAAGCTGGCAACCTCCTGAGTAGCTGTAATCCCAGCTAGTCAGGAGGCTGAGGCAGGAGAATTGTGCCACAATGCCTGGCTAATTTTGTATTTTTAGTAGACACGGTATTTCACCATGTTGGTCAGGCTGATCTCAAACCCCTGACCTCAGGTGATCTGCCTGCCTGAGCCTCTCAAAGTCCTGGGATTACAGGCATGAGCCACTGTGCCTGGCCTCCTTTCAGCATGTCTTACAGGGCAGTTCTGGTGGTAATTTTATGCCCCCTTCTCCAACACTTTTTAATTTCCTTTAGAATATTGTATTATAAAGCCATGTGCAGTGGCATGCATCTGTAGTCCCAGCTATTCAGAAGACTGAGGTGGGAGGTTCACTTGAGTCCAGGGGCTTGAAACCAGCTTGAACAACATAGCAAAACCCCATCTGTTTTTTAAAAAGTTATTATAGCTTTTCTTTAATTAATTTATTTATTTATTTTTGAGACCGAGTTTCACTCTTGTTGCCCAGGTTGGAGTGCAATGATGTGATCTCGGCTCACCGCAACCTCTGCCTCCTGAGTTCAAGCAATTCTCCTACGTCAGCCTCCCCAGTACCTGGGATTACAGGCATGTGCCACCACACCCGGCTAATTTGTATTTTTAGCAGAGACTGGGTTTCTCCATATTAGTCAGGCTGATCTCGAACTCCCGACCTCAGGTGATCAGCCCACCTTGGCCTCCCAAAGTTCTGGGATTACAGGCGTGAGCCACCAAGCCCAGAATATCAGAGCGATTCTAATGAGTATACGGTAGTATCACGTTGTGGCTTTAATCTTTGTTTCCCTAATGACTAATGATGTTGAGCATCTTTTCATGTGCTT